TGTCAAGGCCTAGAGTTTAATTCCCAGTACCTCAAAACATGAAGGAAGGGAGGAAACAAAACATTTCCTACCCTTTGGTAACCTAGAACCAGAGGGCCTTCAAGGCTTGCAGAGCACCCTCCACTTCTGCTGGCTTGGAGACCATGCATGGTAAAGTACAAAGCCAGCACAGCTCCTACCAGCAGGTGGGCACGAGGCCTGTCAGAGCTGTAGGGGGGTGTCTCTAGATGAGGAGGGTCAGGGCTGCCCTGGAGGATCAGAAGTTCCAGGGCCTGGCTTACACTGACCGGATTTATTCCTAGAGAGCCCAGCCCATCAAGGGGCACAGCTGGAGCCTCCAGACTGCGCCATAGGGCTTCCAGCACAGGAAGATCTGTGTGGGTTCTCTTCCCCGAACAGTTTCTCCGCAGAGCATGTACACTCCTGTGGTCTGGTAGAATGCAACATCAGGAATACGTAGGGCATTGGCCTCGGAGTCAATGTGCCATGGGCTCTACTTCTAGCTACTCACTAAGCAAGTTACTGAACCTGTGTGAGCTAATGTTTTCTTTCCTCCCTTCCTTCATTTTTTGAGGTACTGGGAACTAAAACTCTAGGCCTTCACAAAAACTATCATCCCCAGCTCTTTTTATTTTTGAGACAGTCTCAGTTAGATCGCTAAATTGCCTGGCCTGGCCTCAAACTTCAGATCCTCCTACTTCAGCCTCTCGGAGTGGCAGGATTACAGGCACGCACCACCAGGTCTGGCTGAGCCACTGTTTTATTATGAAACGAGTATCATGACTAGTTAGACCCACAGGGCTGTTGTGAAAATGAACAGAGTTAACACATGGGATGTGCATGGTGGCTCAGAAGGGCTGGAAAACTTGTGAGAAGTGAAGTGCACCTGGGTGCTTTGGGTGGTTTCCTGGGGCATGCCTGACATCCATAAAGCAGATTCTAGGGCACCTGGCAAAGCCCAGAGACATGACAAAGGCGTGTTGAGTAACAGTTGAGCACAGGACCCAACCTCTCCACACAAGTTTTAAAAAATGAAGGTATAGCCATGAGAAATTAGAATAAGCCTGAAATCCAAACTCAGAATCCCTGGCTTTCCGCTCTAGCAGTCTGCTCCCCCAGCCTGGAGCTGAGGGGAGGGTGGTAGGGGTGCAGGTCCAGGCATGGAGCACAGCAGTCAGCCTGGCTCTGGGGCCAAGACAGGACCAGGGAGAATACACCTAGCAGCCAAAGCCTGTCTTTCTGATCAACAGGCACAGCATAACTAACTCAGCTTCTAGACAGTGTGAGGAGAGGACAGGAAGTAGAAAGAGCGATCCAAAAGCTTCCTCTTTAGGTGGCCATGGATGAGGGGCAAACAGCGAATTGGCGGGAAAAAAAAAAAAAAATATCTGACCTGAGTGAACAAGCCACTTTCCACCTCTATCCAGGGCCTACTGAGAAGTACTGCTTGTTCGACCTTGCTTCCTCCTACCCACCTAACTCCAGCCTCTGTTCTCTACAGCACAAATCTGAGCATGTCACCACTGCCTTCGGAACCTCGTCCAGACTCCCTAAGCTGGCCTCCAAAGGCCTTCTGCTTCTGGCTTCTTGAGCCCTCCTTCTCCTCATTTACACAGGCTTCTTAGTCCAGGGACCCACTCAAATTCACTACCATCCATGCACTTGCTGTTCTACCAGCCTAGAATGCTCTTCACCTGTCTCCACACCCGGCATTTCTCTATCAGATTGCTATGCTTTGTTTTCTTCAGAGCCCTCACCACTATACAGACCTATCATGATACTAATGATGGCTACAAATTAGTACTGCTCGCAGAGAAAGATGGTGCCCATACTTTCTTCCCTTCATTTTTTTTTTTTTTTTCTTCCCTTCATTTTTAGCAGGATCTGCGAGTATTCTGACCAGCAGAATATGGCAAAAGTGATATGCATAATGTCCAGGTCTAGGATTTTAGAGTACTAACACTATCTCCTGTCTTTAGAAACGTCTGGGTAGGCAATGTCTGGGTAGGACCTAAGCTGCCATACAGTAGTCCTTCTGCTCTGAAACAACACTGGAAAATGTACCTGCAGACTAGCTGCCAAGGCTGGCCCCAAACTTGCAATACCCCTGCCTCAGCCTCCTGAGTAGCTAGACTGCAGATATTATGTATGAGCCACTGTGCCTAGCTGCTACCACATTTTGAGATGCGATGTTAGGTAACAATAGGTAACTGGACTACCCAGTTGGCTGTTTCCCTCCTGGAACGTAAAGGTTGAGGGACAGTCCCCTTCTGTCATGTTCCCAGCAGAATTCCCAAGGCCTAACAGGAGGTTGCTCTAACAAACAGGCAAAAGGTATGAGCTTCAATTTAGTGGCAGCCAAGTTCATTCTGTTCGCACAAAGGCCAGGCTCAAGTCATGGTGTGCCCACCCAGATAAGCCCAAGCACACAGAATACAAATTCCTCTTGAAATGGGCCTGCCTTCTTTATGCAGAGCTGGTTTCTGCTAGATGCAGGTTCTGAGTCTCAAGGTGAGGAGGGGGTCATCTCCCTGGTATGAAGCTGCACATCTGACTCTAGCAACCCCATCAAGAGAAGGCCACCACTGTCTGTGCAGTTAAAAGTACTCACAACCTCCAGGGGCCACTTTCTCACCCCAGCATTTTCCAGATGCCTCCAGCAGAATGCCCCACGCCCAAGAACAGGAACCCTAAAGCTCCTGGCTTAGCTCAGGAGGTGACGTTCTCAAGGTGGCCCAACCTGAGTGGGAGAAGCAAAGCTTGCTGGGTGAGACCTCTCTCAACAACCAGTGTTGACCTCTGAGCTGACATACCAAAATTAATCTTACTGTGAAAGGATCCTGCAAGGTCTAGCTCAACGCCCCCCTTCACTTACACAAAGCAAGAATGGAACCCTGGTGTCTCAGTAAGACAAATAATTTGGGGTAGAGGGCTGGTCTCCACTTCTCTGCCCAGTTTTCTATCTTACTCCCAAAATGGATCTGATCAACAACTGTGCAAGGAGCAGGCCAGTCCTGGAGGAGTCTGCTGCCCCAGAGAGAATTAGAATGTTCCAATGATCCTTTGTTCTATTCTTCAAACAGAAGAACTGCAATGCACAAAACCTCTAGCCAGGATCTTTCTTTCCTCTTCTCACTCCAATACTTAATATCCGTCTTAAGTTACTCTTGACACCTACGGGTGTCTGAGATAGAAGGGACCTTAGAGATTAAGAACAATAACGCTATACCCATGCCACAGATGGGAAAGGTGTAAGTTCACTGGGGCCTAACACAATGAAGTTTCCTTGGCAAGCCTATCCTTTAGCTCAGACAGTACTTCCTACCACTGCTGTGGAGCATCGAGCCACCCAACACATTTACTCTCCCTGAAGAGGTGAGTAAGGCTTCCCCTCGGCTCATGAGCTGGACAGAATGTAGTCTTTTTCCTTTGAGTCGTACATATAAAGCCTGGGCCATGCTGTAGGGAAGCTTGGATCAGACACAGCAAACGTTAAGGGCCAACAGGCGACAAGCCATGACCCTGCAAATGAAGAGGAGTTGGGTTCTGCCACTGGACAACAGTGCTAAGAGGCCTAGTGTAGCTAGGTCATTTAGTTCTGCCCCACATCAGCCGTATTGACATAATCCATATATCCTGCTACTTCCTTAAAGCATATAATTCAGTGGGGTTTCCAGTGTATGTATTTAGTTTATTTTTTTAAAGAAAAATAGGAACTAGATTTCTAGGTAATTTTTATGACTTTTAAATGTAGATGATTAAAAGAGTTCTTAAATGCAAATCAACTTAAACTTATACACAGGCTAAACTGGGCCTGAGAACGTAGATAGAAATGCCCAACTGAGACGCCTGTCTTTCAGAATATAAATCCTAATGAGTCCATTTACCACTGAATTCTGGGGCCCTGACATCAATAAGTATTCAAAAATTTCTGAATAAACAAATCAAGAGAAGTACTTTGCCAACTTACAGCTGTAGAACGTAGAGCAAGTCACCATTCAAACTCTTCAAATGTTACCATTCAACAAATTGTTCAGTTCCCTCCTATGAAATCTGAAACATGTGGAGGCACTGCTGAGTCACTACTTGACTACAGCCCAAAACCATTAATGGTCCATCTCCCACCTGCCACTAGAGTTGTAACTGCATGCCCATATGGGACAGGTGTGTTCAGACGCTCTATTTCGCGACGAATGGCAGTCGCCACCCACTCAAAACCATGATTCTCTGTGCGCAATAATCCTAGGTCTTCAACTACTCCTTCCTCCTAGAAAGGTACATGTGTCTCAATGCGCCCCCTCTTCTGTGTTCTCCTGATTTCCTGTCTCTTTCCCATACTCCAACAAGCAGCACCCTACATCCAACCCTGATCTTACCATCTTCAAACCTTACCCTACCCTGGGCTCCAAAAGAAGGCTATTTCACTGATTCCAACTGGTCTCTCTCATACACATACAAAACAAGAAAAGCCAAGAGAATTCTGCTCCCCTGAACAAACACAAAGCTGTTCAAAGACACCAAAGATGGAGTTACTGTAAATCAACTGCACTCATCTCTCTCATTCTCCCACAAGGGCATTCTCAAGCGCTCAATATTTGGTTTGGGTTTGTCTGTTGAGCCAGGGTCTCTCTGTGTAGCCCAAGCTGGCCTTGAACTCATGGCCATCCTCTTGGCTCTGCCTCCCAGTGCTGCAATCACAGGCATGCGCCACCACACCCAGTGACAGTACCACGAGCTGAGCTTCTAACTGCTCAATTGTGCCCTGAGAGTCCTTAAATTCCCCTGTATGACTCAAGGCAAGGTCAGAACTGCCTTTAAGATGTAACACAGGCTACCTTTGGGTGTACAGTCAGGTCCAAACTGCAGAGGTTAAGGGGAAAAGGACCAGGGCAACAAGGAAGTGCTAAAGTCATCCTTAAGTGGTTTTTAAGCAAACTGAAGACCTGGACCACAATCCAGGCCTCAAAAGGGAAACAACTCTTAGCATGACCACTTCTTACTATATGTTAACCTCTGCTCAAGCACTTCTATATCTTCCCTTCGTTCATTTTCAACAGGAGGTGGGAACTCCAGACACATGTCCATTTACCAAGACCCCGAAGTTACTGACCTGTCCAAGGTTGCTAAGTGGCTGGACTTAGAAGTCTGATGGACTCCAAAATCCATACTCAATCACTCCATTCTGTTTCCTCTTCCAGAGGTGAAGGCAGAACCGCAGCAGGAGTTGAATTCAAGTCTCAGCCTTGCTTTGAACTGAGTGTGATCTTGAACAACTTACTTCCTTTCTGGACCTAAAGTATCCCAACCTGATACAACAACCTCTGCAGCCTCTTCCAATTCTAGGGAAAGAAAAAGCAAGCCCTTTGAATTCCAGAACTTGGGAGGATGAGGCAGGAGGATCACCACAAGTTCAAGGCCAGCCTGGGCTAGACAATGAGTTCAAGATCAGCTGCCTGGACTACTTAAGCATGACCACACCTCAAAACAAAAACAAAAACAAAAACAAAAACAAAACAAAACAAAAAACCCAAGGGCACATTAATGGGGACAGAGCTAAAAGCTAGGAATTGGGCTGGGTAAGCCTAAGTATGTCATAGAATTCTCCGAATTCTGGTAACTTACCTGGGGGCAAATGCAAACCCACTGCTTTCAGCACAGGTGTAAATATAACAGCTGGGTCCAGCCACCAGGGAGAAGTGCCTTTGATGGAATGAAATTTTGTGTACACAGATGCCAGTCCTTAAAAAGTCCAAAGTCAAGCTATAGAGACTGGCTGAAAAGAAGCTTCCCAGTGTGTGAGCTTAGGAAGTCCTTCACCATGTGGCAGTCCTGCTGGTAGTAGTAGTGGCTTTTAGCTACCTGGAAGCCTGCCCCTGCCCTGCCCCATGCCACTACTTCAAAACCTTCTCTTCCTCCCACATACCCAACAGCCGCAGAGGCAAGTGGGCAAGCATAAGCTCAGTACAGCCAGTTCAGGAATGGTGCTTCCTCCAGTAAGGGAGCTCCATTCCAGATAACACAGCTTCTGAAGAGCCAGTGATATACCCCGTAAACCCCAGCCGCTCCCTGCCCCTTAAAAGACAGCTAGTAACTGCCCAAGATTTACATTTCAGGAATGACTTAGTCTGCTTCTTTTTGTAATCTGGGAACTCTGCCCCAAAGGATCAAGCAGTAAGCCCCAAACCATCTACTGTACAGTGGTGCCTCAGTTCATGAACTGAAGTTTATTCTGTGAGTCTGGAAAAGATGACCACGTTTATGTTTGTATGGGAAAGATGGGGAAGGTTGTGTTTGTTACCCACTGCAGTTTGCAAGCAAAAAATTTTGCCAAACACTTCTGTTTGAAAACCAAATTGTTTGCAAACAGAAGCATTCATGAACTGAGGTACCTCTATATTCTTAACCTATGAGGTTCTGTCATCCAGCAAGGGTTACTTTTCACAAAAAGAAAAATCTGACCATGCCAGTCCTTGTGGCTAAAACTGTAGTTCAGCACTCATCACAAGACCTTTCCAGTCATCCTCAGTACAGCCACAGGAACTTGGTTCCCTGACCAGACCGCCTTTTCACACCAGCATGAGCTGTCTGCAGGCCTTTTCTCTGTATTATTGCCTACTCCTCCATCCTCCCCAATTCAGGTTAGCCACTGCTTGCCCCACGAGACAGACTTCTCTGACCCAGACTAAACTGGGTGTCACTGCTATTCTCCCAAAGCATTCTGTACTTTCTTTTCCGTACATAGTTCCCTCCATATTGAATTTTGAGTGCACTTACCAATAGATTTTCAAGACAGTATATCCTCTATGGCTCACACACTCAAAGTATGCCAAATGTCATTAAAAGTGGATTTATCCATTCATTCACCAACTAAGTGTTCAATGAACTTCCTACTATGATGTGCCAACTGCTGGGGACACAACGGTGGTCAAATATCAAAGTTTCCGACCCACTGGTGCTAAGGACTAAGAAAAAAGATGAAACAGGGTAACAGAGACGGGGAGCAGTCCAGGGTTGGAGCTCACTAATCTGTCTGAGAACGTCTGTTACAGTGATCTGGGGGAAGCACATTCCAGAACAAAATGTATGAAGCACAGGAACACAGGATGCTCCAGGAAACACAAGGACCAACGATTTTGGAAGGGAGCAAGGAAAGGGCAAAAAGTGAAGGACCGTGGGAGGGTGGCAAATCAGGTATAGTCTAAGAACTTCAGGCTTGAAAGCCACCAGGTCAGGCTATGAAAAGCCACCAATTCTGAGCAACAATAACAGTAGACCAGTTAGAGGCTGCTGGAATAATCCAGGTGAGAAATGATGATGTGTGGGCCAGACAGGCAACACGAAGCTGCCATTAAGTAGATCTGGACAAACATTTTTGAGGGCCAAAAGAATGTACTGGTAAATGATATAAGAGATGACAAAGGAATAGATGTAGGAGACCCAGGTTCTTAGTCTAAGCAATTAGGAGGACATAAAATGCTTAATCTCACTCAGCCTCACTTTACTCATCTGTAAAGTGAGGATAAAAAGAGCACCTGCTGAGTTGATGCAGGGCAGAACAGGTAAAACAGTAAAGGGTGACTATTTCTATTAATTGTCTCTTGGTCATCAAGGTCCTAAATAAATTCGCATGTGGAAAGCAGAGCAAAAACCATACAGAGCCTAGGCAAATAATCCACTCAGATGGCTCCTGGCTTCGGTGGACTCCAGTTCCTGTGGAAAGCTTTTGACGTTATTCCAAAGCAGAGGGGAAAGAAATGTAACCTTGAGTGGCTGCGATGTATGTAGTAAGGTGAAGGTTGTCACAACAAGTTTGGAGAGTTGTTAAAAAAAGGCCCTGTAAACAAGGTCTCTGATGGAGGAGTCTTCTCTATTTACCAATGGTACTGAGGACAGATTCACTAGGCCAGCTGAACAAAATTCATCAATAAGGCCCATTCTGCTCTATCTCCCCCCACACCTAGGGCTTTGCCATTCCAAAGACCTGGCCAAAGGAAAAAAGGTGCCATGTCCAGACTGTCCCCCTACTTCCTGGAAAATCCATCAGGGGCATACCCCAAGCCATCTGCCATAGGAAGTTGGCCAGCTGGCCCTGGTAACTGCAAAAAGCCTGTCTTGAAAATTCAGCTAAATCCAGTTGATCCTCCAAATTAGGAAAAGTACAGATAACCCCTTGGAATAGGCAACTGTGTGTGTGTGTGTGTGTGTGTGTGTGTGTGTGTGTGTGTGTGTGTTGGGAATCAACCTTTTTTTTGGGTAACAGGAATCGAACTCACGACCTCAGGCTTGCCAGGCCAGCACTTATGCCACTGAGCTATACCCCCCGGCCCTGGACTAGGCAATTATCTTAATCTACATCTACCTGGCTTTGAAATGCATCTTCTGGAATATGCACCAATTACATCATATGGGACACTCTGCTACCCATATTCAAAATCCACAAGATTGCAGAACCACCTCAGCACCAGGATTAGTCCCATTCTATGAATGACACAAAGGCAAGGCAGGCTATATAACATTACAGAATAAAAACGGGGCAAATGCCCATGTTCAAAGTCCACCACCTTCCCCTTTCACATCACTGTGCTGTTTCCTGTATTTTCATTAGCCTGAGATCAAGACTTATTCCTTGACGAGTATGACAGCACACACCTGTAACTCCAGCTACTTGGGAGCCTGAGGCAGAAGGACTCCAAGTTTAAGGACAGCTCAGGCAACTTAAGGTGCCCCCCAACAAGAAAAAAAATTGAAAGGGCTAGCTACGGGAGGTAGCTTAGTGGCAGAGCACTTGCCTAGCATCCAAGAGGACCTGGGCTCAAACCCAAGGGTAAAGAAACAGAATGATGAAGTTCTTCAATTCCAGGCATGTTAAGGCCTCCTCTCTCCTGGCCACATTCTTAGGTCGAGATGGTTTGTGAGCCTGGACTGGGGCACCCAAGAGCCTTTAACCTAATTACTCACTCGGAACTTGTCTTGGATTTTGCAAATAGGGGCGACTCCCAGCTGCCACGCTCTCCATTTTAAGGAGGTTTCTGGGTTTCATGCCTGCTCCTCGTCTTCTCTCGGCCCACCTCCCAGAAAAGAGTGCAGAGTAAAAGGGAAGAAAAGTCTGTTCCAGCTTCTGTCCCACTGAAGATGCAGACATATCAGCACAGACTCAGTCTCTCTGCGGGTCTGGAGCTCAGGAGAGCTTGTGACTGCCCTGCACCCCTACAGACCCAATGTCTCCTCAGCACCTCCGGGACCTGCTAGACGCACACACTTCCCTACTCACTCCTGCTCCGTAAGCAGGGCCAGGATGGCTGAAGGGTGCAGGTGAAGGCCGCTTCATTCCCTCAACAGGCTCTCCTAGTTGTGTGCTTTCTTTAGGGGAAGAAAAAGTGACCTGAACAGAAAAAAACCGCAGGTCTCCTCTCCCCAGGCTAATTTAGCATTTCTTAGTGTGTACTCATCAGACTTTTAAGAATAGATGAATAACCTAAACCAGGAGGCACAGACCTGTAATACCAGCACTCTGGGAGGTTGAGGCAGGAGGACAGCAAGTTTCACCCAACCCAACCAAATTAGCAAGACCATTCTCTCAAAACAAAAATAAATGAACCAGAGGCCAGGGATATAGCCCAACAGCACAGCACCTGCCTGGCAAGTGTGAGGTTGTGAGTTCTATTCCAATACCCCCCCAAAAAAATATAAATATATGTATATATATGGGATATAGTTCAGGGAAAAGGCTGTTTCTGGGTTCAATCTTAATATTGTACACACCCCACACACACAAAGATAACTTTATTACAGCTCCTAAGACGATTCCTTAACATAAACTAAAATGCTCAAATTCTCTCAACTGTTACCAAAATATCTCCTTACAGCCCAGTTTGTTCCAATCAGAATTCAGATAAGACCCACAACAATACAATGATTAGTTTCATTTATCTGTAACAATTTTCCCTTTAAAAACGTTATTTTTTAATTAAAAAACATCTTACAGAATTTCTCACATTTACAAACTGGGTAACCGCTACCTCACAATTAATTTGTTCCTTTACCCCCATTTTCCCTACGAATTAGACCTAGTCTTATTAGCACTGGGTACACTATTTGGT